CCGGATGTTGAAAGCAAAGTCCCACAATAATGAGGATTGTAATGATGATGGTAAAAATGTACTTTTTAAACGAATTCCTGATGAAACTGTTGTAACTGATAGTGTGTTAAGCTCCCAGACTGAGAGTGAAATGTGTGTCGACGAACTGTCACAATCGTTTAGCATAGATGAATCTGATAAAAATCGGGGCAAACGAGCAAGGAAAAAGAAACTGCATAGTGAATCAGATGATGATTTTCTTAAGATAATACATGAACGCAAAGTGAAGAAATCTTGTCAAAAAATTAAATCTCAAGTTTTACAAAATGTTCCTGATAAAGATGTTGTTAATTATGTTTCTAAAAGTCAACCAGTTAAGAAATAACATTCATGTTTTTTTTCATTCTATTATTTTCTATACTCATCATGGTAAAGATTGCTTCTATCAATGTTAATGGTTTAAGGAGTGTTCCTAAATTTGAAAAACTTGTGTCATATTTGCATAATCAAAATTTAGATTTTATATGTGTAGAAGAAACACATTGGGATGACAATTTTGTAAAGTCTTATAAACATTTGTGGGATGGTAATATATTTTTTAGTAACAGTAAAGATGGGTATAAAGGCTGTGCTTTGCATGTATCAAAACAATTTATTGATAAATGTAATTTTGTTTATAGTGATGGTGAAGGAAGACATTTAGAATGTCAGGTAGTTATTAATAATTTTATTTTAATGTGTTTATATGCTCCTAATGATGAATTATCAAGGAAAACTTGGTTCAGGTCTGTTATAGAGGTCTGTATATATCAATACAAATGATAATGTTGTTTTGTGTGGAGATTTTAATGATGTTTTAAACCCCTTCACTGATAGATCTAAGAATATGTCCACTTTTGGTAAATCGTCTCATTCCCTTTCTACTTTTGTAAATAATTGTAATTTATATGATATATGGAAAAGGAAAAATACAGATAAAGTTATATTTACACGTCAGCAATTTGTTAATGGTGTTTTAAAACAATCTCGTTTAGATTATATTTTTGTTTCATCTTCATTTTTATCATATTCTCAGTATTGTTTTGTTTCACACAATAGTTTTAGTGTCCATAGTTTTGTAACTTTGATATTAAATTTTGATAATTTTGAAAAAGGTCCTGGTGTTTGTGTTTTTAATGATATGTATTTAAAGGATACTGAGTATTGTTTTAAAATTAGAAATTTGATTAATTCTTTGACTACATGCTCATTATTTCTTAGTGAACCTCTGGTTTGGTGGGACAATCTTAAGTATAAGATTAAACTTTTAAGTGTTTCTTATACTCAGCAGCAGCGTAAGAAAATAAAGGATGATTTTTGGCAACTTCAAACTGCATTGCATTTTCATTATTTAAGAGCAAGTAAGGATATAAATTATAATTATGAACATATTCTTGATCTTAAAGATAAATTACAAGTTTATGAAAACAGTAAATGTGAAGGTGCCATACTTAGATCTAAAGCCCTTGATGCTTTAGAATCAGATAAATGTTCTCATTATTTTTTAAGTTTAGAAAAGAGAAAACAAGAAACTAATGTAATTAGATCTTTGAAATCTTCTTCGGGTGAAATTTGTACATCTACTGTAGATATTCTTCAAGAGTCAGTTCGTTTTTATTCTGATTTATATAAATGTGATCCTGTTAATGAAGGTAACCAAAAAACTTTATTTAGTCTCATTTCTAATAAGTTAAATGAAAATGAAAGTGTTTATTGTGATTCTGATATTTCTCTGAAAGAGTTGCATGATTCTTTGTCAGGAATGAAGAAACGTAAATTTCCTGGATCTGATGGGTTTCCCCATATCAGCACTTTTGTATGTTTTAACTGAGGAGCCATTAAATCTTTTAATTAAATCGAATAATAATATATGTGGTATACCTATCTCAGGCTGTGATTTTAAATCTATTTTATTTCAACATGCTGATGTTACAACTCTAACTTTATCTTATTTTGAATCTGTAAAGCTTTTAAAACTTTTGATGTATATTGTTCTGCCTCTGGAGCTAAAATTAATGCCGAAAAATCTGAATTGTTATTGGCTAGTTCTGCAAGTATTACATGTTTAAATTCTGTACCCTTCAAATTATTAGAAGGTTGTGTTAATATTCTTGGAGTTTATCTGGGCCCAGATAAAGCTAAGTGTGAAAAGATGAATTGGGAATCAAAATGTTCAAAAGTTTTAAAAGTTTTAAATGCATGGAGGCAGCGAGGGCTTCAATTAAAAGGCAAAGTAATTATTGTAAATACGTTATGTTTAAGCATTATTTGGTATTTATTACGTGTTATTGATATTCCTGAATGGGCTTTATTAAGTATAGAAAGATCAGTTAGAAATTTTATTTGGTATGGTAAAGCACCTTTAATTAAAGCTTCATCTTATGATGTTGGGGGGTTACAATTAGTCAACATACAGCAAAAGGAGAAGGCTTTTAGAATTGCATGGCTCTCAAATTATGTTCAGTGTTTTGATAATGCTCCATGGAAATTTTATTTGTCATATTTTCTTATGTCCTATAAGAATATGAGGTGTTCTTTTGAATTATTATTTATTGATTATGCTAATTTTCATTTAGATTTTTTACCATTCTTTTATTCATCTATGTTGAAAACTTGGAGGGACTTAAGAGCACAAGGAGTTTTTATACCTGAATATATTAATGATATTCTCAATCAACCCTTTTTTGATAATCCTTTTATAATTCATAATGCAAAATCATTTTATTTTCAAATTATGTCAATGTCGG